AATCTCACGATTTAATCATGCTGATAACATGAAAATCCTTGTGCCATTGTATACTTGGCATAATCTCCACATCAATAGTTCACCAGTTCAACACTTATAAATTCAATATATTTTTTAACCAGTCCATATATTATTATACACAATGTAGTATAGTTAATTTGACCATTGAGAAGTAAGGGTGTATTACATTACACAGACACTGCTGAATTTTAGGTTACATGCCATTGGATTGATATGTAAAAACACTTGTAAAAACTCACATTATCTTGTTGATAGAATAGCTAGTTATTTGCAGTATACTAACTGTTGGCATACTCTATTTCAGGGCTATCAGCCTATCAATTGTTTTTGTCACTGGCAATCTTTGAAATACAATCTTGCTCTGTGGCCTTTACTGACAAGTTGGCTTTTACTACAAATGTGGCACTGACACATCTTTCATTAATGCACCAATCAATGTAAACTTCCCCACTGGGGAGGGGCAGGGATTTTGACTCGGAGGGGTAGTAAAGAGGGAAATTGTCCCCGCCCCCGGGGACATCAATGTCCCCTGCATGTCTCGATCTCAACCCCGGGAAAATAGTTTTGTATAATCATAGATCAGCAATAGAAATCAAATTCATTTATGTTGTTGTATTTAAACTTTTCTTGTCAAGAAAACTAAAACAGCAACACAGGATATATATATTAACCACCGTCCAAGTCTCCCATCATCGGGGAAAATTTATAATCTAAACAGACCACTTTCCCCGCTAAACGTCCCGCTCCTCCCCGGTTGGGGGCAGGAATGAAAGTTGATTTATAATTAGTTTATGAATAAACTTGCACTTTCATGATAGAGGTTAAGATCTACTAGCACTATCTCTGACTGCCCTAGTATGCATCTGATTGGTTATAATGGTTGATTGAATATATCAAAATTGCATTTGATGGTCCCTTAATGGAAATGGTAGTCAAATCTGAACCTCTATAATGTCAATGAAGAATGCATATTGGAAAAGTATCAAAAAATTTTAATTGTCAATGTTGTAAATAAATCAAACAATTCTGTTTGTTTCAGCTACTGGTAACTAGTTCACTATCACTTTGGTTTTCAAATCAAAGAATCGTTAGCTTGGTTGAGCTTTTGAAAAAGTAGCTGCTTGATTGAATGCAAAGTTATTTTTCTCTGTCTAATGCCAGACAATTTCACTCGTCAAGGGGAAAGTGCTGCCACTCATGAGCGAACTCAATCAGAGCTCAATGAGCAACAGCACTCTCCCTCGATAAGTAAAATAATCTGGCATTAGATGAAGTGAAATAAACTAGTAAAGTAGGGTGCATTGGGGCACAATGCAGCTTACTGGGTTAACTGGAAAATATATTTATTAAACAATACACACCATATACTGTACTTGTATTTCAATTCATAGCATGATTTGGTATGCTTATTTATATTTGACCCAAGTACCAGACAGGAATGATATTTGAATCACACCTGTATTCATTGAACAAAGCTAATTTAAATGTACGTTAATTGTACATGAATCACGCAAATGTAAAAACTAGAGCAAAAACACACACATACAGCTTTGTTTTTTTTATTTTTCTTGAGAAGGAATAACTGAGCTACAATGAGACCATTATCAACAATTTCAAAAAGGTATTGTACAAAAATATTACAAACATAAGACACTTTAAAGACAGAAAACACACAAAGTATGTCACTTCAGAAACTGTATTCTGTGATATAGACGATATCTCTTTAAAGAAACTTGCCTCTAAGTGAGACAGCCTGGTAACTGAGATCTCGCTGTCTAGTTATTTTTATAGTAAAAATTATTGTATTTGTATTTGTATTTAATAACTTTGTTGCTTTAGAAGAAAAACCATACACACTTGCATCATCCAAGCACTACTATATATACTGCTAAATACAAGAATGTAGTAATTAGTTAAAAAAACAACTGGTGGCCAAACAGGGCAT